CAATATAACACGATATATATTGATCATCGATATTGGTGTTTCATGTTGTTATTTTTATGTCTCGTGTATTTTAATGGTATGGAGATTTTGCCGTTAAAACCTACTCGAATCGACTCGTAGACATCCGTATGGACGGAAGTCTTCTAAATCTTTCATGAAGATCTACTCGAATCGACTCGACCGCTCGTCGATACGTCTCTTGAGATATTCCATATAGATCTACTCGAATCGACTCGTTGATGTTTAACGTTTGTATTACTTTGTTGTTGATTTTTCATTTTTTTTTTTTTTGCTTTAGATATCTACACCTTATGATACCTACACTCATAAAAATATGGGATTAATAGAATAATTACAAGAAAACTTTGTCGTCAACATTTTATTTTTGCTACAACGAGCGAGTTTTCCGACCACAACAAAACTTTTATTTTCAAATAATCGGCATATCATCGTACGGTATGTTCTCATAACAATTTTACGTCGAATAAATTATGAACGTTTTTATTTTAAATTCAAAATGTTTAAAAATCTAAAATGCAATTTACTGTACCTACTCAGTTTATATTCATTGATAAATTATTCTGATGTCTGTCTGCACATTTATAATTTTTTTTTTTATCTCAAACATTCTAATATGCCCTTAATTTATTCCTCTCTTATCTATCTCGATCTTTTATTACTTTTTATGTGTAAATTTCATTATGACATGTATAAAAAAAAAATAACTATATTTTATCTCTTAATTTGATTTAAGCCCAGTGATTCCATATTCTTTCAGTCAATCTACTAGTGATTTATGTAATCCGTATTTACTATTAATTCTTGTAAACAAGGATTTTGAGGACAGGTAATTTAATTATTATATTTCATAAGTGAGTATTTTTATAAATGGTTACAAATATACAATCTAATTAGTAGGAACAATGTGACTATATAATTGTTACTAAAGCGAAATTAAAATAATTTTACTCGGTCTATGTGACAACTGAATACCTGCCACTCCAGCGTAGTCTACAACTGCAGGCGCATTGACAATAAAACCTAGCGGAAAGGTATGTGCTATAAAACGTTGGATCGCTAGCGCTACTAACGTTTTATTGCAATCGTAGCTATAATTTTTTTCTCCCTAATTTTTTTTATATATATTAATACGCCAAGGTTAACAGTTTGACTGCCCATGAAATTAAATAAAGTCAGCCGGGGGCCAACTTTTAATTTCGTGTTATTTAACTTTAAATACATCCAAATAATAAAATATATATATATATATATTATTCACTATATAAATAATATCGGATTAAATAAGGAAAAAAAAAAAATATATTACGCCGGTGGGCGTGACGGGCAAGGAAGGTTTCCATCTCAGATGCCCATCACGCCCGAGCGCGTAAGCCAAATTTTGAGTAATAAAGTACTATTTATTGTAATAAATATACACTGGATAATTTAGTGCAATAAAGTAATTTTAACATGAAAAATCACAATTTAGGAACTATAAAATTACTAAAATCAACTAAAATAAAACATTTATATACATTTACAACTCTTCATGATACAAATCAAAACACTCCACAGAGTCCTGGCTTACATTTTGCAGGCTACACAGTGCCACGTGGTGTCGGTTTCTTCTGTTTGTAGCACTGGCGGCAATGTTTCTGTTTTATTCTGCCATTTGAATTCTTCTCCGTGATCCTAGTTATCGTATGGTCGGATTGCTCTACGTGGCATCTGTAAGTCATCGGATGTTTTTGGGTAATAGATTATCAATTACCGATAAACGATAATATATAGTCTCATTTTGGCTTGCCTGTGTACTTGTTGTACATCTTGTACGAATTTATCAAAAGTAATTGAAATATGTGAATTGCTATTTTCAAATACCATCGAACAGTTTTCGCTCACATGGGTGGAAAGGAGTTGGTCTGAAGAGAAGATGGTGGACCAGTTTCTTCAAAATCTTGATGCGAAGGCGACTCGATTTCACATACAGGTGAAACATGTGTTTGTTGGTACTGAAGAGTCGGCGGCTGACTGTGATCATCATCATCATCATCATCATCATCATCTGAAGATGATTCATAGATAAAATCGTCATCGGTGTCATGTTCTTCCAACAATAAGTCCTCTATTTCCGTACCTAACACTAATGTGGTCGTTTTGGCCTTGAAGGCCAGCTTCATTTCCATTGTTTTAGTAAAAAAAAAAAAAAAACGTAAACCGCTACCTTTTACGTATTCGTCAGAGTGTTGCGCGCGATGCCCGTGCGATACAACGCTCTCCGACGACCCACGGCACACTGGCGCATAGAATGCTGTGTACTAACCCATCACGCGCAGAGGCGTGATGGGCATCCTCTTCTCGTCTCACGCCCCAGGGCGTTATGGGCACTCAAGTTGTTAAGACGTTCGCCTTCGAAAGAAAAAATCTCACAATCCTCCACATATTTTTTATAATTTCATAGATGTGAAATGAATTGCTTGCTCCACCGGCATCGACAACACTAAAAATTATTATTGCTTTTGTTTTATAAATGAATTATTATTATTATTAGATAATGTTGCCATCTGACTATTTTAATTTTGAAACAACGTCGACATGATCGACGGTCGGTAAGTAAATATTTCTTCGAACTGTCTGTCATCTGAACTTTATAATGTAATAATACTCAAAAATAATAACGGTATAAACAGTGTGCAAAATTGCAAAAACGGATCGAACACCTGCAATAAAATTTGATTCATTTAATTAAATTGAATTGAATTCATTATGATTTATTTAAATAATAATTACAAAACGATAAAATAAAACGCCGGAGGCGACTGGAACTAGAACAGTGGAAAAATCAAGCAGAAAGACGTGTGTATATATATGCGCCCATAAAACTTACCTAGCTATAGGTAGTTTATTCTATTTAGTTTACAATAAATGTTAAATCGTTTTGTATTATTTAGACGGTAACTTACTTATGCGGTATGAGCCACTTAACCTACGTCACAGAACGCAATATCTATACAATTTTAATTGTTGCTCACGTTACCGAACTATTATTAGGTATACATATAATAATAGTCAATGTTCACTTGCAGATCGGTGCGTGCAGCGTATACCGCCTTCACCTCAACCGGGAGGCGCGACCGAGGCGGAGTCTACATAGTCTACGCCCGTGGGCGCTGTCAAACACGTCGGACACCGATTTCCCGCATAATGCAGCCAACGGGCGGCGTCCGTCCGCCGTAAGCCACCGGCAGCTATCTGCTTCCCGCTCTAACAGGAGGTGGGTAGCGGTCGGTCTTACGGCAGGGTCCCGTTGCGAGACAAGGAGGGACCGAGTATCGATGAGATGTTCTATCTAAAATAACTGATTTTAAATAGGAAAATATTATAGATAGAGATAAGACAGGATAAGTGAGTTCGACAAGCGTCCGTCTATGACGAGAGCCGATGATGCCGAAGTCTGACTGACAATTTATCGTCAGGTTTCAACTATCTTCGACTATCATTTGTTTATTGTATAGTTTTAAGAGTATCATCGTCTATTGTATATTTTTCATTTTATTTATAGATAATATTTGTTTATAGAAATAGAAACTTTCACCGCAACATCGTGTTTAGTTCTACGGCCAGCCGAACGATGATAAGCGACGGCCGTACGCCAAGTCTCAAGTCTGGGCCGTTCTTAGTCGAAGAAGAGTTCCAACGTGCGCGGAAACCTGCGCGCATCGTTTTACCGTCTACGAGGACGCGATCCGTCGTCAGGACAGTCATTATGCATTTAGCATTATTTTTGTCGTTAAAATAATACAGGATACCTGACTATAGTTTCATTTCATTTCCCCAACCCTATTATATATTAGATAATACGGTAAAAAGAAAAAGAGAAAAAAAAAAACTATTCGAACATTATAAAATATCATTATATATTATTTCTCTAATGTGCTTTTGTCGTTGAATGAAAATATAAATTATTTATAATTTAAATACATTATTTTTACCTATTAGGTGAGACTTAGGCTACTTTCAAAACATTTAATCGAGGTACGGAACCCTTCACGTACGAGTCCGGACTCACTTGCCGACCGGTTATATATATATATATATATATATATATATAATCGTCATCATCATCATTATTATTATTATTATATTATTATTATTATTATAATGATAATAATAAGAACAATGGTATATGTAATCACTATTATTACTTATTACATTTTAAATAGAACTAACGATTGAATGTAATAAAAAAAAATTGCCCGAAGTTACGGGGCGGGGGGGGCGGCCAGGAGGGCGGGGGGCGCAATATAAAAAATACTTTATTTCGATTCGCGGATCGATAATATCACGATACACGACCATCGGGCGAGATGCGAGGCGGCTATCAAAATTTCAATATTTTCGTCAGGTTTGTATGGATCGTCGCTTTCAACCTGCTAGTTCAGCTATATGTGAGCACACGGCAGCGCGGCGAGTCACTGTACGGCCCGCCGGCGTTCCGTGTGCCGCTTGCACGGTGTGCGTCGACGGTATCAGTTGTGCCGTTTAAAACTTTTTATCGACGCTTTAAATTTACAAAGTATTAATATATAGAATATTATACTTTTCTGAACATCGTTCGAGTATATTAGTGCGAACAGATACAACTTTTAAGTTTGTCTATAATACGGACGGACTATAACTGTTGTCGTTTGCGCTTTCGTATTGCGAGACGATGTCCAACGAAAAATTATCGTGACCAACTCTATACCGACGTTGAACGGGATTCGAATGAATCCCTATAAGACGACTGGACAAAGTATCATATAATAATATACAATATGCGTTATTTTCAATAAATACGGTTGTTTCGGTGAAATATCAAATTTTGGACGCGGTCTCTGATCGTCGTCCGATTCTCCGACAGGAGATGAAAATTATGAGAGCAGTCAACGCACCGCATGAGAACGTTCGCCGCCGCCGTCCTGGGGACGGCGCGGTTTCGTGTTAGCGTGCGATAGCTCCCTGGTTGATCCTGCCAGTAGTTATATGCTTGTCTCAAAGACTAGCCGTCTGCAGTGCAGGCCGTATTAGGCGATACCGCGAATGGCTCAATATATCAGTTTTGGTTCCTTAGATCTTACACAGGTTACTTGGATAACTGTGGTAATTCTAGAAACTAATACATGCAATCGGAACTCTGACCAGTGATGGAATGAGTGCTTTTATTAGATCAAAAATCGACGGAGGGCCTCGCGTCCGATGTCGTTCATTTTGATGAATCTGGATAACTTTCGCCGATCGCACGGTCCAGTACCGGCGACGCATCAAATGTCTGCCTATCAACTTTCGATGGTAGTTTCTGCGACTACCATGGTTGTCAGGGAACGGGGAATCAGGGTTCGATTCCGGAGGAGCCTGAGACAACCTACCACATCAAGGAAGCAGGCAAATTACCCCCGGCACGGGGTAGTGACGAAAAATAACGATACAGGGACTCTTACGGGGCCTCGTAATCGGAATAGTACACTTAAACGAGAACAATTGGAAAGTCTGGTGCCAGCAGCCGCGGTAATTCCAGCTCAATAGCGTATACTAAAATTGCGGTTAAAAAGCTCGTAGTGCATTTGTGCCGCGCTGTCGGTGCACCACCGCACCTGCGTCTCACGACACCCTGCGGATAATCGTCGGTGAACCGTTCCGGGGCCGGTCTCGTATCGGTACTCGGCGGTTCAATCTTCAAAATCTATCGCGTTGCTCTTAAACGAGTGACGAGGAACCGACAATTACTTTGAACAAATTAGAGCTCAAAGCGGGCTATGAACGCTGCTTGAATATTTCGTGCATGGAATAATGGAATATGATCTCGGTTCTATTTTGTTGGTTTCAGAACTCCGAGGTAATGATTAATAGGATAACTGGGGGCATTATTGCGACGTTAGAGGTGAAATTCTTGGATCGTCGCAAGACATCAACAGCATTTGCCAAAGGTGTTTTCATCAATCAAGAACGAAAGTTAGAGGTTCGAAGGCGATTAGATACCGCCCTAGTTCTAACCGTAAATATATGTCTAGCGATCCGCCGACGTTAACACAACGGCTCGGCGGGCAGCTTCCGGGACCAAAGATTTTGGACTCCGGGGAGTATGGTTGCAAAGCTGAAACTTAAAGGAATTGCGGAAGGGCACCACCAGGTGGGAGCCTGCGGCAATTTGACTCAACACGGGAATCTCACCAGGCGGACACCGGAAGGATTGACAGATTAACAGCTCTTTCTTGATTCGGTGGGTGGTGGTGCATGGCCGTTCTTAGTTGGTGGAGCGATTTGTCTGGTTAATTCCGGTAACGAACGAGACTCTAGCCTGCTAAATAGGCGTCGTCATTCCGGTGCGTTCGCGTCGCGCGGCTCTCACTGGCGGCGTTATTAAAATCTTCTTAGAGGGACCGGCGGCTTCGGCCGCAAGATTGAGCAATAACAGGTCTGTGATGCCCTTAGATGTCCTGGGCCGCACGCGCGCCACTGAAGGAATCAGCATGTTCTCCTGGCCTGAGGCGGGCAACCCTCTGAAACCCTTCGTGCTGGGGATTGGGGTTTGCAATTATCCCCATAAACGAGGAATTCCTAGTAAGCGCGAGTCATTCGCGTTGATTACGTCCCTGCCCTTGTACACACGCCCGTCGCTACTACCGATTGAATGATTTGGTGGGTCTTCGGACCGACACGCGGTCAGTCTATCGGCGTCGCTGGGGAGTTGACCAAACTTGATCATTTAGAGGTAAAAGTCGTAACAAGGTTTCCGTAGGGGAACCTGCGGAAGGATCATTAACGTGTTAATGATGTATATCGTTATAGCGATATATATTATAAATACATCTATATAATCCGAACAATTATCGATTTACTCGCTCGTCGCGGCCGCCACGCGACGTAGATGGAGAGGTGATGAGATACTCTCCGGAGTCGTGGCCGCGACGAAAAAATTTCTAATCTCATCCTTATTTATATATATATTCTTTATCATTTATACGAGATTTTATTATTAAATAAAAAGCTACCCTGGACGGTGGATCACTTGGCTCGCGGGTCGATGAAGAACGCAGTTAACTGCGCGTCATAGTGTGAACTGCAGGACACATTTGAACATCGACATTTCAGAACGCACATTGCGGTCCGTGGAACACATCCAGGACCACTCCTGTCGGGGCCGGCCGTATATAACAAAGGCCACATTGCGAACGCGCTCGCGCTCTCTCCGTGCGCGTGTGCCGTTCGACAATTGACGGCGTCGACGCGTTTCTCTCGGCCTTCTCGTCTCCTCCAAGCGAAGAGATGTATTGGTAGAGATTGTTTTACGTGTCGTCCGTTTAAATATATTATTCGTACGAATCTCGATTACGCCGCCGCGCACACACAATCGCGCGCGTCGTCTTCGTATTCGCGTCTCGGCAGAGATCCGACTCCGGGAGTTCGGTGTCGTAGTCGAAACGACGGATCGATGATACGACGGGTGCGATGTGCGCGGCGCACGATCTTGAAATTTTCGTAACGATATATCCGCCGTAGGCGGACTCGACGTCGAAGCGCGCGCGTCGTCGCGCGGACGGATATCGAGTCTGCCTCGCACCATATCGTCGGCCTCAGATCAGGAGGATCACCCGCCGAATTTAAGCATATTAGTAAGCGGAGGAAAAGAAACTAAGGATTTCCTTAGTAGCGGCGAGCGAACAGGAAAGAGCCCAGCGCCGAATCGCGCGATCGTAACGGTCGCGCGACATGTAGTGTTCGGGAGGTTCCGCTTTCTCGTCGTCGGGTCTCCTGTCCAAGTTCGTCTTGAACGGGGCCGCTTTCCCGTAGAGGGTGCCAGGCCCGTAGAGACGGGACGCGGCGGCGGAGGACTCTCCTCAGAGTCGGGTTGCTTGAGAGTGCAGCCTAAGCGGGTGGTAAACTCCATCTAAGGCTAAATATCACCGCGAGACCGATAGCGAACAAGTACCGTGAGGAAAGTTGAAAAGAACTTTGAAGAGAGTTCAAGAGTACGTGAAACCGTTCAGGGTAAAACGAAACTCGAATGAACGAACGGAGAGATTCAACGTTCGTTTCCGTGCTGCGTGCGTACGGTCGTCCCGGACGTCCGTCGATCTCGGTCTGGGGCCGTGTCGGCGGGCGCGGATCGTGCGTATCGTCGCCGGGGACGGCGTACTTCTCTCTCAGTAAGGCATCGCGACCCGTTCGAGGTCGGTCTGAGCGCCGTTCGGGCCCGGCGACCTTAACTCGGTCGTCGGACCGCGACGGTGGCCGACCGGCCTTCAATCGGACGGTATGAATACGAAACGCGCACGCGCTTAGGCGCGTCAGGCCCGACGCGAGGCGTCGTCGCGTTCGAGGTTCCGGAGTGCGGACCTCGACGCTGCGCGCCTGCATCGATACGGCCGCCGTGTAGTCTGACCGTGCGCGTATCCGTCTGCGATGATTCGGTTTCGGGCACCGCAGGACCCGTCTTGAAACACGGACCAAGGAGTCTAGCATGTGTGGAGTCGTTGAGTCTCCTCGTGTAACGATCAAACTGAAAGGCGTAACGAGAGTGAAGAGGCGTTTCAATTTTTTGGAACGCTCGGGGATGGACGCGGATCTCGGTCCGCGTCTCACTCCTGGGCGTCCCGTTCCCAATCCGCGGATGAGGGCGCGCTCCGAGCACAGATGCTGGGACCCGAAAGATGGTGAACTATGCCTGGTCAGGTCGAAGTCAGGGGAAACCCTGATGGAGGACCGTAGCGATTCTGACGTGCAAATCGATCGTCGGAACTGGGTATAGGGGCGAAAGACTAATCGAACCATCTAGTAGCTGGTTCCGTCCGAAGTTTCCCTCAGGATAGCTGGCGTCGAATACGTTAACAGTCTCATCCGGTAAAGCGAATGATTAGAGGCATTGGGGCCGAAACGACCTCAACCTATTCTCAAACTTTAAATGGGTGAGAACTCGGGCTTACTCGAACGATGAAGCCTCGAGATCTGATGACGGTGCCAAGTGGGCCAATTTTGGTAAGCAGAACTGGCGCTGTGGGATGAACCGAACGTAGTGTTAAGGCGCCTAAAACGCTCATGGGACACCATGAAAGGCGTTGGTCGCTCAAGACAGCAGGACGGTGGCCATGGAAGTCGGAATCCGCTAAGGTGTGTAACAACTCACCTGCCGAACAACCAGCCCTGAAAAATGGATGGCGCTGAAGCGTTTTGCCTATACCGTTACCGGCACGTGCGACCACGTTTAAAGCGTGCGGTCATTAAGCCGTAACGAGTAGGACGAGCGCGGCGGAGAGCGCAGAAGGGTCTGGGCGTGAGCCCGCCGACCTCCGTCGGTGCAGATCTTGGTGGTAGTAGCAAATACTCCAGCGAGGCCCTGGAGGACTGACGTGGAGAAGGGTTTCGCGTGAACAGTAGTTGCTCGCGAGTCAGTCGATCCTAAGCTCAAGGAGAGATCTTGTGTCGATGTGGCGTGTTTATTTTTAATATTATATATATTATATAATTAATAATATAACGACGCCCGTTGAGCGAGGGAATCCGGTTCCTATTCCGGAACCCAGCAGCGGAACCGTTTCGATAATCGTTCCCTCGCCTCGAGAGCGCAGAGTTCGACAGGGTGACCCAGTGGCCTGAAGACGCCGCCTAGAGGTCCGGGAAGAGTTTTCTTTTCTGCCTGAGCGTTCGAGTTCCATGGAATCCTATAGAAGGGAGATATGGTTCGGAACGCGAAGAGCACCATTACGGCGGTGTCCGGATTCTCTATGCGGACCTTGAATTCAGGTGAGGGACGTACGCGGAGATGTCGCGCCGGTTCGTACCCATATCCGCAGCAGGTCTCCAAGGTGAAGAGCCTCTGGTCGATAGAATAATGGGTAAGAGTCGAAATTGGATCCGTAACTTCGGAATAAGGATTGGCTCTGAGGACCGGGGCGCGTCGGGTTCGGAAGGGAAGCGGACGCGGCGGCGCCGAGCCTGGTCGAAGCTCGCGTGTGCGCTCGTCGTGCGCGGGCGGAATCCGGACCGCTCCGGCCTTCCGCGGATCTTCCAGCCGCGGGCCGCGTGTCTGGCCGGGCGATGTCGTCGTTTCGGTAAAACGGAGCGCGCGTTCGGTCGGCGCGGGCCTTTACGACCGTTCAACGGTCAGCTCAAGAACTGGCACGGACAAGGGAATCCGACTGTCTAATTAAAACAAAGGCGATGGCCCTCGCGGGTGTTGACGCAATGTGATTTCTGCCAGTGCTGAATGTCAAAGTGAAGAAATTCAAGCAAGCGCGGGTAAACGGCGGGAGTAACTATGACTCTCTTAAGGTAGCCAAATGCCTCGTCATCTAATTAGTGACGCGCATGAGATTAACGAGATTCCCGCTGTCCCTATCTACCTCACTGGGACGGCGTCGAGTTGCCCAGCACGAAAGTTCGCGGAAGAGCGTACGTATCCGTCACCGATATGGATAAGCGTGGCGGACTACGTGTCGAACAGATATGGGCGGCTCCGTAGTAGCTCCACGCGCGAACTACCCGAGACAGCGCACGGCGGCTGGGACTGGATTTAGTGCTGGTGCAGGAGCGGTACACATCGGCCGACAACATTATTCAGACCGGAACTACTCCCAAGGCTGGGATAATGGTAACACGGACAAATCTACTCTGACTGCACTGGCACCTATCCACCCAGCACTGTATGGTAGCGCATGTTAAGTGACATATGTGATCTCTGGCTGCTTTCAATACGGTGACCGAATAGACCCATACAGAGCACCTAGGTTCTGTGCTGAACGCGCTGCGAAGCAGTCATCGTCGGATTGACTCGAACGTGCGTTCGCCGATGGCACTGCGAACGTCGCCAATACGGGTCGTGGGCAGAAGCTGAACATAGGCGACAACAAGGTGTTTTATAGCCGAACGGGTGCTTATGCCCATAACTGCGAGGGTCAGCCAGCGACGTTCGCGGGTGCCCGCAGCGAGTCAACATCGACCTAACTTTATCTACGCGGTCGGTGAAGCTGGAGTGTTCTGGGACTTAGCGTCAGCGATCAGGCTATAGTCTACAGGTTGATGGCGTAGTCAGATCCGCCACGTGCGCGGAACCAATGGAAGAGCCTGTGCGATTCCGGGACCGTGGAGTAGACTGGGACGTATTCAACGTACTGTACAAATGAGGTTGGTCGCATTCGGTGGGGCGCCCCGCTGCGAAGGTGGCGTTCGTTCACTGATGTGATCATACGGTCTGCGCGAAATGTCTGGGAGTAATACGGCAAGGTCGTTTTACGGGTACGAGTTGAACGAGGAGTTAAACAGAATGAGAGGTGAGACTGCCAAAAGAGGAAATCTGGCAGAGCAGAAAGCTAGAGGAGGGACCGTGAACTGGAGGCGAGATTGGTCTACCTTAGGGCTAGGGCGGCGTACCGCAGAAGGATGCGTGAAATACAAACAGCTTATTTCGGCAAATTGCGGAGTGGCAATGTGGACCCTGGGGTGTGCCTATCGGGCGGCTCAGGGGCGATGTAGAGCTCCCCGCAATGTGGTCAACGGTTTGGCGCTGTCGGAGGGCTTCGCGACGGACACGGCGGGTGCTATGTCCAGGAATGCTCCGAGCCCTGTGCGGATGACTGTCCGGCGGGCGATTCCAGGTATCATAGGCTGGTCAGGGTTGCGGCGATTCTGGTCCCCTCCGGTAAGGATGCGGGGCCCGTGGTAGTCTGGTGCTGGGAAGATAGTCGGGTCTTTGCAACACTGCCCCAGGTCTAGATGGTATCAGTTCACGAATAGTCAAGCATGTTTGGAAAGCGGTACAGCAGAA